ACTTTGACCTCCAGCCCCCAATTAAGGGACTTCCAAGCATCCAATAATTATTAATAATAATGAGTAGTATACTATACACTATAATGTATATGTATATGTATAATGTATTTGTGCTGCTAGTGCCATCAGTGGTTTAATAATTGAATTGGTCATGTGTATCCTGTGTTGGTGTGTGTGTGTGTGTTTAATTAACATGGAACTTGTGTGTGATCTACTGCTCATAATTGTGCTTAAATGGTTGTAGCTATGTCAAATTAGGATTATACTGTGTATGTAATCGACTTGATATTTGATTGGGCCCCCCATTGGTCACTCCTTTGGTCAATAAGAATTTTAATTTTATGTAATTTGTTACAAAATGTATTACAAGCTTTGATGGAAAAAGCTGTGATTTGGCACAAAATTTATACTAAATTGGCAGATGATGGTGTGATTACTTTTTAACATCATCATTTCCTCGTCTTCTGTCTTAACTCTTCCTCCATCTCTCTTTCACTCACTCTCTCTCTCTCTCTCTCTCTCTCTCTCTCTCTCTCTCCCTCTCTCTCTCTCTCCCTCTCTCTCTCCCCCTCCCCCCCTCTCTCTCTCTCCTCAGGTGTATTTGGTGTGTCATTAGTTGGTCATTTATTACACTCATACAACAACTGGTCTTATGTCTTCTTAATGATATCTGCTGTCTCATTCTCTGGATGTATCATCTATTCGTTATTTGCCAGTGGGAAAAGACTACCTCACATTGACCACAGCTAGTATAATGTTAGTATTATTAATTTATTATTATTATATTTTATAATATTTTTGATGATGACAATAATCTCGGACTATAATACATTCACGCATTATTTATTATATTAAATAAGAATTATTTTTTCATTCTTCTTATAGTAATAATTTGCATATACATTTTCATTATTTTCTCCGCCATATTATTGCTTTAGTTTCCTAAGCTTGGTCCTTTTTACAGATCTGAGTGAACGATTTTAGCAAAAAAGCACAGCATTCGTAAATAGACTACTCAATTTTCTTTCAGTGGTAAAGGAGAACATTTGCCCCCCTGCCCTGGTGTTCATTTGCCCCCTTGAACTTCAAGTAGTGTTATTGAAATTTAGTCGTATGCCCCCTCCAAATACTGGTATGATATTTGTTTGCTCCCCCTCCTCGTAGTCAAAATTCTAAAAATAAAAATAATAAAATCGTTTGTGTCCTTTTGGTAGTTTAGAATGTTGTGAGAAGAGTTCACAGTCTAAGAGTTATTAATGACATTCATTAAAAACTTATGAATCCTCAAGAGGAATACCTCTTCCTCTATAATTTGAATGTGGCGGTAAACAAGCAGTGAGGAGTGGCCGACAACAAGGGACGTCCTTCCATTGTAGTAGTACAGGAGTATAAAAAGTCATATAAAACAAGAGTAGAACATTAAAAAGCTTTATAAAAGAGTTCAGAGACGAGCAGTTCTTGTTGAAAGTTGCTATTATAAATTCGCTGTATTATTTTTAAAGGAGAGAAGACGTAATGGGCTGCGTTGGTTCTACCGTTGATAAGGAAGCTCAGGAAAGAACGACGGCCATTGATAGGACACTAGCCTACGATGGAGCGAAGAGAAAGAGCGAGATAAAGCTCCTATTACTAGGTAAGACACGAAGAGAGACTCCTCTGTGTAATATGTTCTTTAGATTAAAATTAAAACCTTGCCAAAGTGTAATTTTCTGTATTGTTCTGTGTCCATGTGTTAGGCCATTGTGTTATTATTATTGTTGTTTAATGGATTGTGGCTATGAGGCATTATAAAAACATGTTCCTAGAAGCAGTGTCTGTGGTTGAATTTACAAATAATCTTTGATAAGAGAAAGAAGAGAGAGAGAGAGAGAGCAATAAAGAACAGAGAAGCAGGGGGTATTGCACAGTAGGACACTCTCCTCTAATTATTATCTACTCTTGATAACATGTACTTTTTTATTATGAGAGATTGGGAGAGAGAGATAGAATGATTATATTGTACATCTTAATGAAAGAGGAGGAAAAGAGAGATATAAATAGAAGAGAGAGAGAGAGGGAGAATAAATGCTTTAAAGTGTTTGTTTGTACCATTACAATCCTTCAATGACAGTGATTGTTTGTATCACATGTGTTTACACCAACTGATGATAGATAGTCCACTAAAGGAGACACAAAGGCAATTATAACTGATACCGGCGGACAGAGATATCTCAAATATCTCCGGTGTTTTGCCTGCCCCATGCATTACTATGGTAACAATAATTCAAAGAATAAAAGACTATATATGTAGAAAAGATGAGAGAGAGAGAGATACACATGAATAACAGTGTGGGTGAGGTGTTTGTTCTGTTGTAGGCTTGTCCCTTCTGTGTGCATTCTTTAAAGCCTTATTCTGCTGCTATTATTGTGTTCTCTTTAAGTCAGTAATTGGTATATTTAGTATCTCCATTGTGAGTGTGTGTAGATACATGTGCATGTACATGTACCTGTATATCACAAGGCCCTTCCCAACAATTAGTGAAGCATTGACTGACCAATAAACACGTTTTGAATGGATTTCTAAGAAACTACATGTACAATATACTATTATAATAATAATAGTAATAAGATAATAGTAATAATAATGTATTACTGATACAGATGTACTGAAATGCAAGACAAATAAGATACAGTCATATATGCATGTACATGTACAGCATAGTTTTAAAAAGAAGCAGTACTGTGATATCCTTCAGATTCATTCGTGTCTTCTCATGAATTCCTCACTATTTGGGGACTATTATACACAACCACAACCTTTAATAAGAATTGCTATCCCCATTGTACTTGTAATGAAGCAGCTAGTGGATTAAACTACACATGTAAATCTCCTTCTATTCATTCATTTTATGTTTTTATTATGTATTCATTTGTACTGTGTACCAACATTTCCAATGGTTGAGCTATTTGGCAGTCAGTCCACGTTTGCTTGGAGAAAGAGAATGTGAGAGATATTGCTTAACTCAAGCTAGAATTACACAATACGACCCGCTTTGCCAAAAAGTTCCCCTTCTTCTTCTTATTCCATGCGTTGCCCTAGCAACCCCGTTGCCTTGACAACGAGTTGCCACGGAAACCCCAAGCACCGTCTGACCTTCCCTTTGATGTTGATGTGTTAGCAACTGCTGAGTTGTGTTTGGAAGATAATAAGCTGACTGGCCATTTAAATATGGTCTCCTATACTCCCCCTCTCTCTCATGATATGATAAGTGCATTAGTATAATGTTAGTTTAGGTGTGGTACATGTATATTAGGTCTTAGTTGAGGGAGATTGATAAGATCAAAGGACTTGTAATTAATTAGTGACAACCTTTGATGTTCCATTGATGTACACATAACAATGACTGAAGGGAGCTGACTGTCTAACTCCTCTTTCTTTCTCTCCCTTCCTCTCTCTTTCTCTCTTTTTAATTCTCTCTCTCTCTCTCTCTCTCTCTCTCTCTCTCTCTCTCTCTCTCTCTCTCTCTTTCTCTCTCTCTCTCTCTCTCTCTCTCTCTCCTCCCCCTGCAGGTGCTGGTGAATCTGGCAAGAGCACATTTGTGAAACAGATGAAGTAAGACACCCACCCACACACACACAATCACACACATTAATCACACTGTGTATATACCCATAAAGTATACATATACTTCATGTCTAGTGTACATAGTTCACACGGTTCATTTTAATAATTATTTTAGCATTCACTATTATTCCCATGTCTAACACTCATTCTTTTGATACTACTACTAACACTATACACACATACACAGTGTACTGTATAGACTAGCCCTTCCTATTCCTAGCTGTACTTGTTTGCCCGACTGTTAGTCTGTATGATCTCAGACTATTTCTGTCTTTTTCTCTTCCTTTCTGTGTATATATGCAATGGAAGCCATTCGATGCTCCTTACAGAGAATGTGTGTATGTGTATTTATTAAGAGGATGTGAGTTTTGGCTGATACTCCAGTAGCCATTGCACTTTTTGTTAGAGAAATGAATGATACATATGTCTCCAGACTGTTTTATAATTCTATTTTATAGTTCTATAATATATAGCTTCGCTGCCTCTATGACCATTTCTACCTTGTGGAGAGAGAAATAAAAAATTTGTAGGAGGAGAGGGAGGGAGAGTAGGAGAATTACATGTACATGTTATTAGTAAAAGGACTGTGAAATTACTTGAGGGCCCCCTCTCTCTCTCTCTCAGTTGTTTATCATTAGTACACATAGATAGTATACACATAATGAATGAATCTCATTAGAAGTGATTATATGATACCTACTTATGTATCAGTCACCACATGGAGCCTCTCCTATGAGAAAACAACCAGATAATATTATACACACAATATTAATGTCCATGTAATACAACCCAATATAAAACATACAGTCTAATATAATATTAATGTAGATGTATATGTACATGTATATATTTTTATGTTGTGGGTATAATTGCTGTAATATGTGCTAGTCTCTGCCTGTGGTTGTTTATTTATTATTATTTATATAAACTGATTCGTGTTGTCCTAGGAAATGTACATGTACTCTTAAACACGTGCCACATGTATACATGTACACATAAATACATGTACACGTACATGTGTCAACATGTTCACACAACACTCTAGGATTACTGGCACACGTCCTTTTAAATGATGTCATTCTTATGTTACACACACACACACGCTCATTAACACCTTTAGCAATGTACATGATTTGCAATGATGACGCGATGATTAGTGTTTATAAATAATAATTAATGATGTGGATCAGCCTATCTTTTATTTTCATGTTATTATAGTATTAAGCGAATAAATTATTATAAGCTGCTTCATTATCATCATTATTATTACATTATATAGATAAACCATATACATGTACATGTATTCCCTGTAGCTATCCTGAGCCCGTATAAAAGTGAATTATCATCTACTACTGTGATTACTATAGAGAGTTATAGTATTATCATAATTCTATGAAAAGACACTTATACCATTCACATAATGTCACACGTACCCTATATGCCACCCTTTTAGAACCACACACTATTAGTACATGTATATTCACATATATGCCACACATACATAGTATCTAGTATCTTTTTTTTAGTGTATCCTACACCCTTTATCCAACCACATTCACATATATGTCACACGTGATGCATATACATGTAAGTATATGTACCCAATACCCTTCACATTCACATGCATATTCCCCACACATAACACATCTATTATGTACCCTACACCCTTTATCCAATATCACATTCACATATATGTCCATATTCCCATTATATGTCATTCTGTGGTATGTTGTTACTCCAGTCTATGTACAGTATGTCTGCCTTGTTACCAGGCTCTGTATGTCATGCATTCACTTCTCTTTGTTTCTTTGTCCCTCCTGTTGACAGGATGCGTGTGAACATCGTCTTATATTCTTTTTGTTTATTTATTCATTCACAGACTCACTGGTTGCATGATGTAGACGTACACAATGTACATGATGTACTTTAATTTTTTATTGGGTCTGGTCCTCCTATTGGTGTCTCATTGTCTCTCTTTTAATTTAATATTGATTGTTTATTTATTGTCTTCACATTATTATAATCACTCCTACATAAATATATGGACACCACCCTTGTCTCCTTCTCTCTCCCTCTCCCTCCCTCGCTCTCCCTCTCCCTCCCTCTCTCTCCCTCTCTCTCT